TAACCACAGAGAAAATATACAGTTTTGAAATGTAATCACCAATGTATTTAAATATTTCAAATTACATACGTTAATTATCTGTGGCATATATTTGTTTTTAAATAAAAATTCCGGTTCAGGAAGACATTCTAAACCCCTAAAATAATTTAATACACATATTCAAACACAGATAAAAATGACATTTTAATATTAATTTTGCAGACATTAAAGTCTGATGAGCTGCTTGGCCTATCTGGATCCAAAATGTACCTTTCACAGTGACTTTATGCTCTCCAGTTCCTGGGGTGGTGGTGATGTCCACATGAACAGATATCTGACCCACTGAATCTTTGGAGGAGCGACCTGCAAGTAAGCAGAAGCTTAGGGCCTGAACTTTCAGATACTTAATAACGGACATCTACATTATCCGCATAAGGGACTTGAAAGTGTTTCTTCCTGGAATTGAATGGTTCTTTTTATTAATAGCACATAACATTGATATATGTTCACCAAATTCAATTTGCTGTGCAGGTTTGAGAATTGGATATAATCATATTTACTCAAGGAGTTAAAATTTCATATGATCCTTAGATATTGTGTTACTATTACAGGAAGATGGCTGTAGAGCACCTGCCCTCATGAAGCCCACAGTAGGCCATGGGAGACCAACATATATCTACAGTATAGTGTGATAAGGTCTGCTGATGGCATAAAAGTTAGTCAAGTGTTAAGCATGTTGTATTGAAAAGTACCTGTGATTTGGGGTCAGATTAACTCGTATTTAAATCATGGTTATGCTACTTCTGGTTCTGTGATAAGAATTTGCTGTATTCTCACATCTCAATTGGCTCATTTGTAAAACAGGGATAATAACACCAACTTCTCTCTCTCTCTCTCTCTCTCTCTCCATATACCCTAACTATCCTTTATATTTTTCACCCCCCCCCAAAAAAATATAGTTATCTCTCATTCTTTAATGTAGCCTGGAATATCACAGCACTAACTACAAAGTAAAGGTTCAAAGAGCATTTGCTTAAAAATAAATTACTGAGCCCTGGTCAGTGTTGTTCAGTGGTTGGAGTGTCAGCCTGAACATTGAAGGTTCGTAGGGGTGCATTCGTCAGGCGGCCAATGCAATCAATATGTCTCTCTCATATCAATGTTGCTCTTACGCTCTCTCTCTCTCCTCCTTCTTCCTTCCTGCTCTCTCTAAAAATAAATGGGAAAGAAATATCCCTGGGTGAGGATTAAAAATAAATAAATTACTGAGCCATTGTTTATAATAATCAAAACAGTAAAATATTTAATGTTTGGCCATTGATCTATTATATGAACATATCATAATTTAACCATATTTCAGTTGTTTCCAATCCTTTGTTATTATGAACAAACTATAATAATTATAAGTTTATCTATAGTATAATTCTTAGAAGTAAAATTTATTTGTCAATTTTAATTTTGCCCCAGAGAGATTTTAACAATTTACACTTTTATATGCAATATAGAAGATCAACAAGAAATGTACTTTTCTAAAATAAATGGCTAATAATTGAATCTGAAAATAGATGATTCTAAGAAACCTTTGGTTTCTAATCTCAGATAATTGCTAGTTTGAGGCCTGAACCTCTCCATAGGACCTGCTGATAAGAGCCAGTTCATCACCAGGACCCCTCTCCCTCGATAATAAAAGAATTAAAAGATAGAAAGTGATCACTCAGGCATTAGTAAAGGGACTATTCTTTGCTCCTGGGGAAAGGAAGAGGGGAAATGTCCCCTTTTCCGGAGGTGAGGCAAAGAAAATCCAAAAGAAATACTCCTAAACTCTGGAAGTGCCAGAAAGATGGGCATTTCACTTTTGGATTGGCTGCTTACTTAGCAGACAATATGACCTGAGCATGGTTGAGTGAGGGACAATTAGCCAGACAGGGGGCCAGGGACCAACTCCTTAAATTTATGGTTGCTAAAAAGTATGGGAGATGGTTCCTGGATGGGCTTGAAGTGCCAGAATTGGGAACAAGAGAGGGAAGATGTGATCATGGACTGTGGCCTTGTCATGGATTGCACAGATGGGGCAAGGAGGCAGGCAGCTCGAAGCTCGTAGCATGCCAGTACCAGCTGAAGTGCAGTGGGAATGAGTAGCCCAGGCTTGAGTTTGGAAGAATCCATCCATGCTCCAGTTGCTATTTGGAAATGAGTCTCACACCGCCAGCTTCACAAGCTTCTAGTTCCCCCAAAACAATAAACTGGAAGAGCTGTAACACTACTCAACGACCAGCAATGTTCACCACTGACGTATAAATAAAGAGTCATTGGTCTTGTTCCTCTCTTTTCTTCCTTCCCAACGCCAGGGAACCTACCACCAGGAGGGAGAGGAAAGGTTCACATGAGAGAAGCCGATGCCTTCCTTCTCCTTTTCCCATTTTTGTCTGCTTGCAGAGAGAGAAGGGACCGTGAATCCAGTAAGAGATTAAAGATGTAAGGTGACCAGGATGAGGTCTTAAACACTGGAATGACTTGATAATTGTGCAAGTCACTGATATGGCAGGGACCTGGGCTGTGATATCAGTGGGGGAGGTGTCTATGCAGTAGAAAATGGGCTCCTTGCCAAGAGACAGCCTTTCCTATTCTACTGCTTTTTCTTCCCTTGTTACTGTTGTTTAAGGGAGGTTAGTTTCCTCTTCCTTCTGTCTTTTTTATGTCCTGTTCATACCTTCGTGTATATGTATTAAATCCTATCAAAAATCTTAAATTGGATGTGCCATTTGTCTGCTGAATCCTTAGTTTATAGAGTTGACATCTGTGATTTGCTCATAACTTGAATGAAAATGCTCCTAGTATTTTCTCAATACTCTTAGGTTTTATGGAATAATGAGCCAATCTTTTGCGGGGAAGGGCAGCAACTTTTATCATTATAGGTTTCAGAAAGGAGAAAATGCGTAAGGAGGCTCTTTAAAATTGAGTTAGAATTCATCTTTTAAACAAGGAAGCAGAAGAAATAGCACACGTGTGGATGAATAAAACAGAACGGTGTGTCCTGCAAACTGCAAGTAGTTCAGTGTGGATGGAGCATATTGGTGGTACCTTGAATATAACTTAAAAATCTTCAGACATTATCTTAGAGCTGCTGAGAAGGCTCTTAAATTTTTGGCTATGGGTGGCATAGTCAGATTTATTTTTAGAAAAAAAATTCATTTGTGTAAAGTATGGATTACTCCGATCATCCCATTCTCTCTGGAAAGCCTAATATTTGCATCTCATTATTCCATGAATCAAGTCCTGCAGTCCAGTCCTTCATTAGGAAGCTTTCGATTATTTTCTACTTCATCTGCACAGCTGGCCATGCTGCTATCTTTAGCCTGATTCTTCAAAACTTACTTCATATTTTCATCAAGACAAACCACAGGTTTGGAAAATTCTTTGTCTATTAGCCTAGGAAGCCCTGTCTAAGTTCCTCTGCCATAAAATAATTTTTTAAAATTCTATAAATAATCTGCAATTATGTTCTTGATTTCCTCAATACTATGACATAGTACGAAAACCCTGGGCAATGGAATTGACTGCTCTGATGAATATGGTCTCAGTCACTTATTAAGGGGTAATGAAAACTCCACAAACCTTGATTTTCTTATTTTTGTAGCACCAACCTGACAGCTTTGTGGTGAGAATAAAAATAGCTAATTTTTCCCGACTGGCGTGGCTCAGGGGCTGAGCATCAACCTATGAACCAGGAGGTCACTGTTTGATTCCCGGCCAGGGCACATATCTGGGTGCAGGCTTGATCCCCTGTGTGGGGCGTGCAGGAGACAGCTGATCAATGATTCTCTCTCATCATTGATGTTTCTATCTCTCCCCCTCTCCCTTCCTCTCTGAAGTCAATAAAAATATACAAAAAATAAAAATAGCTAATTTAAAAAAATGTACGCTATTTTCTACCTTCCTATGTAACAACAGCCCAGCAAACGAATCCAAGTTTATTAGAATTCAATAATTAATAACACAATGTTTCAAAGTTATAAAACCCCTTGAACATTCATGCATAATGCCCACATATAAAAATGGTTTAAAATCCATGGATATTGTGGTTACCGGGGTCAAAGACGGCAAGAGGACCACTCTGGAGTGACTGGAGTTCTTCCTAACAAATTCAGGATTCCCAAAACTTTTCTGGGTTCAGTAGAATAATGATGGCAGATTTTTAGAGCCCTCAAATATCTAAGAGGGAAAACTGCTCCCTTCTATTAAAAACGTTCATTAACCATGAATCTGATAAAAGGCCTCCAGCATCTCTGAAAATGCGTGCAGGTTGCATAATTGCCTCTGGCGTTATACTAAGGTTCAGAGCCTGCTCAGTGCTTGGGTTTGCGGTTAAAACTTTTATGGGTGAGCATCATGTGTTACTACAAGCAGGAAGGTAGCAATGGCTGGTTTCTGCTAGTGTAGCCATAAAAAATGGTCAGGCCAGCACTTGATATTAATTTTAAAGGAGAAAGCCTTCCACCAAAGCACTCACTGGGTGTTATTCCTTCACCCGAGTTTCCAATTGCCAAGGTAATGTAAAGGCTTTAGTTGTGTTGTGATTAAATTGGAGAGATTGCTATGGTAGAAAATGTAAAATTCTAATTAGGGAAATAGGTGAGTTGCTGTTTGGTGTCTTTGGTTATGGATGAAATATCCTGTGCTGTTTTCAAACAACTAACAGCTAAAGTATCTAAAACCTTTTACAAGGTGCTCTTTCAATGCACAGAGGTAAGTGTTCCTCTTTCACAAATTGCTGTTCTGTGGTCTTCCACCTGTACATCCTGTGCGTGCGCTTTCTACAGAAACATGGACTGTTGCATTGGGAGGAAAAAACATTAAAAATCCCACCTAGGCACTCAGCAGTGCCTGAACACTGTTGTGAAACCTCCTGGGTGGAAACATTTCCCAGACTCTCAAATGCACATTTTCTTTTCTAACACAAACTGTGAAACTTACTGCTCAATCCAGGCAAAGAGTCTGGAGAACTGACTGCTTAATGTGACACACCCTGAAACTGTGGAATTAGGAAAGAAATAGAGTAAAACAACTGGTTAAAAGAGTTTATTATTGTTGCAATTATTGCCTAATAGTCATGCTATTCATAATTGTCACTTTAAAAAATGCCAGGTTTCTGCTTTCATGGCCTGGAGTTATACCACTCCTAGCACCATGGTATGCCTTATTTTGCAGTTAATTATGCAGATTTTTTTCTTCCTAACTACCTTCTATAATCAGGAAACTTCTATTAATCCATACTTACTGCTAATTCATGTAATAAACTTGTAATATTCTTCTGATATATATTAAATGACCGATTTGTATTTATTTGTTGATTAATTATGCAA